CAGTTGTTACAAGTGGATGGTTAGTTGTGCTGATGTGGCCTCCTCTTGTAAAACTGATTAACTGCCTTCTGTTCCTCTTGTAAAACTGATTAACTGCCTTCTGTTGGTCTGTTCCAGCAGTCTTGACAGGTGAACTAGCTAAAAGAGGACAACTCTAGGCTTTGGAATTACAGCAATGAGAAGAGGAAATTTAAGTGGCCGACTAAGGACATTGAAATTCAATGCACATGGGTAAAGAGAAGTACAAATTCATTGGCAGATGGTCTAGCTAGGCAAGGGGTGAACAAAAGCTTTTTTTTGGGCTGTGCTGTAATTGATTTACATTTTGGGTGTACATTGGTTGTATTCAAGAGTTTAGATTGTTTAGCTCCTTTGCTATGTAATTTTCAATACTTTAATAAAATTCACTGTTATTGATAAAAAAAATTCTCAGCCTAATCAGGTATGATGTGTGTACTGGAGATAGGGTTCCTTTTTGGGAAGACACCTGGATTGGTAACTCCATCCTTAATGACCTTTTCCAGCTTTGTATTCCCTTTCCCTTTTTAAAAATGAACCCATTCAACGATTTGTTTCTTGCTTCCAATCCTCGGGTTTTAGTTGGAATTTGGGTTTAGAAGAGACCTGAGAGACATGAGCTTGATCAAACTGCTTTGTTACTCAAAACCCTTGACAATGTTTGGTTGGACTTCTTTAAACCTGATACTAGAATATGGACTCTCAACTCTTGGGGGTGTTTTATCTTGTGCCTCTTTTTTTTTTTTTTTTCTCAGTTGTGTTCTGTCCCTAACCTTCAGCCTTTCTTTTGTAAGGAAATATGGTCTAAATCCATTCCCCCTAAGGTCAGAGCCCTTTGTTGGGAAGTTTCCCTTGGGAAATTAAACACCTTTGATAACCTACAAAAGAAAAGGCCCAACCTTTGTATCTCCCCAAGTTGGTGTTTGCTTTGCAAAGCAAATGGAGCGAGTCGTTACCATCTTCTAATATCCTGCCCTTTTGTTATGAAATTTTGGGAAAAGATCTTTGGTCTTTTTGGGTGCTGGTGGAGGATGCCTTTGCAAATCGGGGCACTTTTTGGCCCTACAACTTTTAGGTGGACTAAGAAAAGAGGGAGAATCTTATGAAGGTGTGTTAGGGCTGCTTTAGTTTGGAAAGTCTGGGAGGAAAGGAATAACAGAATATTTAATGATAGAGAAAGGGATGGGGATTGTGTGGGAATGTCTGCTGTTTAAGCCTATTAACTGGGCTAAGCTTTGGATCTATTTTCAGCATTCTCCTTTGAAGGCATATGGAGAAACTGGGAACTAGTTGCTAGCTCTTTGGTTAAGGACAAACTTGGTCTAGCCTGGAAGCCCCCGGAAGAAGGTTTCACAAAACTAAACATTGATGCAGAATGCAGCTTCGGTAATCCTGGGCCCTCTGGGATTGAAGGAGTATTCAGGAATGCAGAATGCTAGATAGTGGCTTTATTCTCTGGTTCAATGTTTTAAAATGCGGAAGCGTGAGGCGAGGTGTTCCACTACCTAGAGGCGTGAGGCGTAATTCAGAACGCAAGAGGCGTAAGCCTCTCGAACACAAGGAGGCGTAAGCCTTCTTAAGAGGAGGGGGGTTAGGAGGAGGATGAAGAGAAAGGGGGGATCTCATTTTTTTCTTTATTTTTAATAAAAATCTTTTATATTAAGAAGAATAAAGATGCATAACAGTAGTTCAAAGGGGGGGGGGTGTCTTGTCAAAGCGAAGGGCCCCCCAGCCAAAGGGGCAGGGGGCAAACCATTTTCTTTCCCCTTATCTTTTCTTCCCTTCCCTTTCCTTTTCTTTTCTTTCCTTCTCTTTTTTTCTTCTCTTTCCTTTCCTTTTCTTTCCCTTTCTTTTCCTTTCCTTTCCTTTCCTTTCTTTTCCTTTTCTTTTCCTTTCCTTTCCTTTCTTTTCCTTTTCTTTCCCTTTCTTTTCTTTTCTTTTCTTTTCTTTTCTTTTCTTTTCTTTTCTTTTCTTTTCTTTTCTTTCCTTCCCTTCCCTTTCCTTCCCTTCCCTTCCCTCCCCTCCCCTCCCCTCCCCTCCAGGCGTACGCCTCCCACGCCTTTTAAAACACTGCTCTGGTCCAATTGGAGTGGGGGATGCGGTTAGTGCAGAGGTCCAAGCTGTTTTACAAGGAGCTCAAATCACTGAGAAATGAACTTCAGAAATCTGGTCATAGAAGGAGACTCTAAAGTGGTAATTGGGTGGCTGAAAGAACCAGACTGCAGCTTGGCCTTGTGGGGGGTGATTAGAAAATTCAAATGGCTAACTTCTAATTTAACAGTCAGAGTTCAGTGGGAGAGAAGACCGGAAAATGGGCTGGCAGACCTATTAGCTAAGCAAGGAGTGAATAGGGATCAATTATTCTGGGCTACATTGTAATTTATCTTGTTTTTTGAGGCAGCATTTCGTGCCTCTTGGGAATAACTATATATATTTTTTGGAATAACTATATGTTGTATCAGTGGCTGACAATCCATCTTAAGAAATTTTAATGAAATGCTTTATTATTCATAAAAAAAGAAGCTTTGATTCAGGCTGCCAGTGAAGTTGGTTAATATTGGAGGGGCTCTTTTTGTCTTTTTGGGGTTTTGAGGTTCCAAGCTTGGGGGGAGGTTCTAAGAGTTTCTTTTTGTGATGCTGGTGGTCTTCTCATTTTTTCTAGTTTGGGTTTTCAGGGATTTGGGGGATTGGGTATTTCCTAATGCTGCTGTAATTGGGGGGTTTCTATGCCTTTTCTCGGTTCTTTCATGTGATCTTTGTGGTCCTTGGTAGGTTGGGTTGTTTTTGTTTTTTTCTCTTGGGTAACTTCTGATCGCCTTCCTGGTATTTTCTCTTTTTCTTTTTAATAAATCTTATTTTATTACCAAAATAATTATCTCATATTTAAATGGTAAAATAAGTGTCAAGGCTCTTAAGAAAAATAAAAGTATTTTAGTTGAATAGGAAGAATTCTAGATCTGTGTAAAAAGATTATGAGCCTTATTTCCTTACCCTTATTTAAACGAAAAAACCAAAAGCCTTGATCTTGGTGAAAACCATTTCTATGACAGTCCATGGAGATGTAGTCTATACTACTATATTATACAAAGTGGCATTTCTACTTGTGAGGCTCCAACACATTTTCCATCTAAGGTTAATTATTTTATCTTAAGACAAAATTTAAAACTGTGTAAAAGGTTAATTTTGTAGTTGTAACAAAAGATAACTAGGTAAATGCAGAATGGTTATTCACTCACCTGAGATCATGTAACACATCCTATTTTCTGAAGAACTTTTTCCCTGTCTGGTGAATATGGACATCAATTGGTATCCACGAATCTGTCTTTTCTTTTCTTTTCTTTTTTCCCAGCACATGATTTACAAAATCCAAATTTGGTGTATATTTCATTTTGATCAGCAACTGTTGGGTCATTATAATGCATATTTTTCTTGTATATTACCATTCAATCCGGTCATGTTCTGCATTTTATGATGCTTTTTGCCTTTTTTATTAGGCCAATGCAACATGGAAATAACGAAGAGTCTTTTGATTTTATACAATCTTTCTTAGCAAACTGACCTGTTATTTGATTATAGGCAGGAATTTTAGGAAACATGCAGAATCTATATGAAACCGTTAAGAAGGCACAGATGGTTGTCCAAGTTGAAGCAGTGCGTGTACAGAAAGAACTTGCTGCGTATGTATTGTTATTGATCTTTTTATTGTCTGATGTTATGTGTTTTCTTGTTGGCATTTTGGATGCCTTACTTTTGTCTTCTGTTCTTTTGTCTGTTTTGCAGAGCAGAGTTCGATGGTTATTGTGAAGATGAGCTAATAAAGGTATGATTTTGTTATTTTATTATAATCATGGTTGAAGTTAGGTTGCAACATAAATGCATCTTGTCCAGACTGGAAATGAGAATTTATTATACTCCAAATAAAGGAAAAGGCAAAGGAAATCTGAATATTAACTTGCCTCTTTAATTTAGTGGCATAGCCTCCAGGGTCCACTAAGGATCCATTCTATTCTTCCATTTTAAATGTGTCTAGGACTATGAATTGATTTTTTCTCCATACACCAAGTTGTCTAGGACTGTGGATTGATCTTTTCTCAGTATGCCAAGTCAGACTATCAGATGTGAATTGGATTTTGACACCCTCATATAATTCTAGGGGTGTAAGTTGGGTACCGATTTGAAGAATTTACACTGCATTGGGCCCATTCAGATTTTAGCAAATTCCCAACCCAAGCCTTCCCAAGTTTCACCCCTATATAAACCCAAGCCAAGCCTTCCCAACATTTGTTACTAATGTATCTGGTTTCTTATAGTTTTGCACTATATATTCCATGTAACATGTGTAGAGAACATTGATGTGGGCCCCACAGCTGTGGTCCCACTCTATCCGTAGGGTAGAATGTATCTAGTCACAGCTGTGGTCAATTTGTTATTCTGTTATTCCTAGTTATTTATTTTTCAGTTTTATATTGTTATGTGTTAGCAGTTATGATGTAAACACCAAGGGCAGATATGTCCTTTCATGTAACTAGCATAA